TCTTTGTTGTCAGCATGCAACTTAAGACGGCTTGGTATGAGGCAGCCTTTCCTTCCCGCGGCAACCCGATTGGCGCCCGCGACTGCCCCAAGACCTCCACCGGCGCAGAGGTGCCCCCGATCGGGGAGGACACGAAGCAAGACCTCGCCGAGACCTCCACCGCCGAGGCCACCGGCGAGCACGTCCCCGGTCAGGATCCCACTGTTGAGGCTGGAACGACAGAAGAGGGGGCTGCTGCTGCTGCTGTTCCTGCTGAAGCTGCTGCGGAGGAGGGTGAGCAGGAGGAGACGAAGAGCAAGAAGAAGCATTGAGTTTTGTGGGAGGGGGCGGCGTTGGCAGGGGGGTTTGCAGGGGATGTGGAGATAAGGGGTGGTGGGGGATGATGATGATGATGATAGGGGGGGGGGGGGACATTCGTTTAGTTTCTTGCTCCAAGTTTACTTTGCACTTGATTTTGGGGAGGGAACTAACTGAATTGGAGTCACTCGTTCTGAAATCACTGTTTTATGATGAGATGTGGTGATGTTTGTTGTGTCGTAATATATTGTGTGTAAAAGACTTGATGCGGTGAGTGTCTGCTGAAACTTCTGAAAGATGATAATTGCTGATTGGCCGAGTCACGCAACATGCTGGTGTCTTCCACTAAATCTTATGAACTCCAGATTTATATTACAATTCTTACTTCACATCCCTTACAATGACCAATAGCACCAGCTCTGTCTGCCACCCATGTCCTACTTACTTGTCAATATCAAGAGTCAAACAGCACCTCATATATACCATTGAGCTGTAAGGTTGTGAGAAGAAAGCGCGATCATAAAACTGGGGACAGCTGTGATGTTGACGGCTGTGAAAGATGACTGTGAAAGAGATATACAGCTGTGAAAAATGACAGGTGTGAAAAGTGACCGAGGTGAAGAAATAGCTGTGAAAGTTAAACATGAAATAGATTGATGGCTGTGAAAAAGAAGCTGCGAAAAAAGTAACTGTGAAAAAAAGTAGCTGTGAAAATGTGGTCGTGAAAATGGATAGCTGGGAAAATGGATATATGGGAAAATAGATAGCTGGGAAAAGATGTAAGTGTGAAAAGAGTAGGTGTGAAAAAGTAGCCGTGAGGAGTGGTTGTGAAAGAAACAGGTAGCTGTGAAATGATTGCTGTGAAAAAAAACAACCGGGAAAAGTAGCTGTGAAATATAAGGTGTGAAAGAACAATGGCGATGAAGATATACCTGTGAAAAATTAGCCGTGAAAGAATAGCTGTGAAAAGTCCATGTTAAAATGTAGCTGTGAAAATACGGCTGTGAAATTGTAGGTGAGCAAATAAGTATAAAATAGTCGGATACCTTGCTGTGAAAGAGGAGTTGCAGAAAGGTAGTTATAATAGAGATAGCTGTGAAAAGAGATTGTGGGAGAGACAAGTAGCTGTCAAAACAACCTTTGACAACTACTTAAGAGTCAATCGTTGCATGTAGCCATGAAGCATTGAAGATATGAAGACACAGATTTTTTGTGAAATAGCAGTCCTCGTAGACAGCATCAAGATCTCCAAACAACAGCTTGCCTTCAAATATCTCCTTCACTGGTCACAAGATTGGCTTTCGTCTTTCTCTTGATGTATGGGAGCATACGACTCCAACAAAGCACTCACTCACCCAAAACCCACAGAAACAGTCATATCAAGTCCACATTAGTAGTCATTTCATTACCCTCCACCTTCCCTTTCCTATCCTACCTTGTACCCTGTCCTGTTAACCAGCAACCCTCCTTCATTAAATAAACACAAAGAAGCCCCCCCTGCTATATGCCCTATCAAACGCATTCCCACATATCTACCCTTCATACCCCAACTGATATATATCCCATCCCATCCATCACATTACCACACACTTCTTATCCTTTTCCTTTCCCCCTTGCCCTTGACCCTGCCCCCTCTGCCAAGTAACATTATTCCCCTCAACATTCGTCCACGCAACCGTACTCATCGCATCCATCTCTTGCTTCTTCTTCCCCCTCCCCCTTCTACTCTTACTCCTAACCGTCATCCCACTCCACCCCCTCTTCTTCGCATCAGCAATGTTCTTGGCCGCCGACCTCTCTGCTCTACTCGGCTTCCTATTCAGACTCGGCACCCTCCTCGCAAACCCACTCAACCCCCCACCACTCGACGACCCCGGCACAGGGGGCGGATGATTCAAAAACTGATGATGATGTTGCTGCTGCTGCTGTTGCCCGTTATCTGACAAACTGAAAATAGTATCCAACCTCTCCGGCACCTGCCGTGGCATAAGTATGGACGACTGCGTGACAGGCCTAGGATGCCTCGGCACCGGCGCCAAAATCGGCGTCTCCGCCCTTTGTTGAGTTGACGAAAACGACCCAGGCGCATCAAATGCCCCCTGAACCCCCTTGGGCGTCGAAATAATAAGCGGCATGTCTTCTGAAGGCTGCTGCTGAACCAAAGGCCCCGAGGTAACAATATCCGACGGCCTCCTCGGCTGGGGCTCATGAATCGTAGCGCGGGAGTGACACGATCGATGATACGGCGGTGAACCGCCACCGCCTCCTCCCTGCAAGGGGAAAGAATAATGTTGCTGCTGTGATACAGGTCGTTGGTACGAGGTCCTCCTCCACGGCTGCTGAGGTTGCGGCAGATGCTCATCCATAGTCATGGCAGGGTGGGCAGAATGTGGGCCTGCCACCGCCACGGGAGCACGCGGTGGCAGCTGAAAGTGGCCAGAGAACCGATGGTTACCGTTCCCAAGATTCGAGATCTGATCGGGCCGGGGCAGAGGCGGGAACGACCGAGACATAGTACCGTCGGTCCCGTTGCCAGGAACAGGAGCCGAGTACGGGTAGCCGTCGGATACCGCAGTCGTGTTAATTGGTACTGGCTGCGTTGGCCAGGTCCTCGAGACGGACAAGCGTCTCACAGCTGGGGGTTCCTCCGACGCGACTACTGGTCGGTGACTCGGTGGCACCAACGAATTGGTGACCGACGAGGACGACGCCATAGTCGTCTCACTAGCCCCTGGAAGGCCCGTTTCTGGAGAAACACGAGCAGCTTGGCCGGCAAAGGGGCTGGGACCGGAACCGGCAAAGTCCCCTTGACTGGCCGTGGGAGGTGACACAAACAACATGCTGGCTCGAACGGGTGGCGACGGATCGTTCTCTGCCGGGCTGCCACTAGGTTCTCGGGATACATGTTGCCTTACCGGTGCCAGAGCAGGCGAGTCTGGCGGTGAAACATCATAGATGTTGTCACCATCTAGGAAGCGTGAGCTGCTGGAACCTGGCCGCACAACGGGATTTTGCACCGAAAGCGACCCCGAGCTGCTGTTTCGTTCGTGAGAGGCCATGATTCGAGGAGGCGGCGGCAGTGGTGAGCCCATAATGCCTGCCGGGAGAGCCGGTACCGGCGGGATTATATCGAGCGATGGAAGTGGTGGGACAGGGGGAACGGGCGGGTTTGGCGAAGAATGACGATTATTGGTAGTGGTGGTGACAGTCTGGCTGCGACGGGGCTGGAACATAGAGGCTGACGACATGCGTGCAGCTTGCCTGTCTGCTGTGCCGACCTGTAGCTTGCCGTCATGGGTCTGAACACCGGCACCGGCAGCCAAAACGGCCGTGTGTCGAAGGAAAGCTGGGAGGTCGCCGGGGTCTTCTTTCTGGTACGGTGGTGGTGGAGGAACCCAGTTGTCCGCATCACTCTCATGGGGATGCTCAGCTCGACCATCAGCTCTGCGATATTCGACCGGTCCTGCGGCTGCTTGTTGTGGCTGCAACCGGCGGTTGTTGGCAGCGGCGGTAGCCGCACGGCGAAGAGTTGTCCCTGAGCGCGGATCTCCTTGGGAATAGGGCGCATCGAGTGCCTCTTGTTCTTCGAGCATAGATTCTGTCTCTCCGCCTTCATCGACTGTCGACGGTGGACCATTGCGGCGAGGTGGGACGGTACCTACTCGACGAGGAACCAAGGGGTCATCCTCATCTTCCTTTTGTGTTGAAGAGGAGGGCTGGGTAGGCAACGGTGGTGGGCGAGGAGCAGCAGTTGTTGCACTGCGCATGACAGTAGACACAGCCCTGCTGCCCCTTTTCTGAGCGACAGTCCTCCGACGAACGATGGCCACTTCGGTCTCCATATCACGATGCTCTTCCTCCAGCACTTCGGGCTCCCTCGTTCCTACGTCGATGGTAAACTCCTTGATAACCCCGTTGGTTACGCTGTAGTCGAAGTCGAGAAGAGTGATCCGGCCGCCATCTACAAAATCGATGCCCTCCTCGTCCGCGACAGAGATATTAGGCGTGACGCCACGGGCAGTGATTACCAACCGCTCTTTTATGCACGAGTCTGCAAAATCGGCCACGAACTTGACAGTGCTTACACCTTCGAGCTCAGCAATCTTGTATCCTCCCACAAACGTGTTGCGCAGTTTGTCGCATAGAATCTGCCATTGGGGCACCCGAGCCTCATTCTCCTGAACTCGTGAAGCTGCCCGCATCGATGGACCGCTATTTCGTCGTAGAAGCCCACCATTGCCCGAGTTGTTCTCCGCAGCCGCACTGGTGGTATCCGGCACGGCGTCAAGGTCCTCAGGAACACCATACAGCCAGATATCCTTCCCCTGAAAGCCTGCCGAAACCAGCTCTCCATAATAAGAGGCAGCCGGGAGTGTACATGGAATGAGCCTGGTCTGCGATTCGGTATTGGGAACTGGCCCTGTGAAATAGGTTGTGCCGTTCCTCAGATCGTCAATACGCACGGCCCGGAAGGTCTCGAAGCTACGGTCGTAGGTAAAAGTCCATGCTGCTTCCTCGTATTTCCCATTCTGTAACAAGACGGCGTGACTGCAATCCCGACTGGTGTTGGGAAACAAGATCGATGTCGTCCACAAAGCGCTGATATCATCGGACTCCATATGGCTTCCGGGGTCGTAGTAAGGTGCTGTCAGTATCACGGTATTCGGTTGGGATGAGTGAACTGTCGTCCCAAGAATTTGAGTTCCGTCAAACGAAAAGGTCAAAGCATCGACGCCATCACACTTGACAGCTCTCCGATCGGTGGCCATGGCGGTCTGGTTCAGCGAAGAGACCTCGATTCCACCTTCGTAAGCGGCCGCTAGTACTGACCCGCATGGTGACAAGGCGATGGCGCGTGGGCTGTGGTCTAAAATCATGGAGTGCGTTCGCTTTGGTGGTGACTGCGTTAGGTCGTAGATGTCCACTTGCATTTCCGTCAATAGCACCGCGAGCATTGTCCCCTGATCATTGATACATGTCGCCGCTGGCCGCCTCAGAATCTTGAATTCTCTTGTTACCGCAATCTCGGCGCCTCTGACATCAACAACATGTATTCTGGAAGAGTTATAAGCCAAGATGTGATGGCCTTTTGGTGAGGCACTGAATTGGATGCCCTCGCCTCCGGGGCAGGACGATGAGCTGATGGAGTTGGAGATGACCTTGATGACGGTCTCATTGGGGCGCAAGTACGCCTCGAAGAGGTTGCGCTTCACCTCTTTTGCAAACTGTCGTTTGAGTTTTGGCAGGTCATCTTCGCTATCGACCTTGACTGGGCCACTGTGGCTCATGGCATACGAGGGACAGTTCGACAAGTGATGGGCATAGAGATGCGCCTGCTGGGCTACGCTTCTCCATTTCGAGTTGAGCAGAGCCAGCGACGCGAATCCATTCGGATCAGTCTCCTGCAGAATTCTAGCACGGTCATGTTAGACGCTACAAACACACGCAAAGGCGGACTGGGCATAGGGGGCGATTTCACGAAGTAGGAAAAGACTAAACACACTGTTGGATAATCTCGTCGGGTAGGCGTTCAAAGGCGGACGGTTCGTCATCCTCGTCGTCGATGATGGCGTCGGTAATAATGATGGGCTTCTTCTCTATCGAAAGCCGGCGGCCATCGCCCGTGTCCCCCGAGTCGTCGATCTCCATGGTGAGGCAAGGCTGATGATGGGTAGGAATTCAACAGCCGATTGTTAGGGAAAAGTGATCATGGTCTGTCGATGTGGCTCGCCATCAGGCTGTTTCTGATGATTGTTTTTTTTTTAATTTCCTGGGCTGCTTGTCTCTCTGGCCTGGACTATTCTTGTCGTCGTACAGAGCGGCAGGAGAAAGGGGGGCGAGCGAGTCTGGCGCTTGCTTGTCTTCTCGGCGGTAGGTCTCCCGTATGTAAAGGGAATATGGGTAAGAAGGTTGCGCGGCCCAGCACCGAATTGGTGCAAACAGAGGGGAGGGCTAAGGGTATTTTTTTTGGGGCGGAGTGTTGGCAGCATCAGCGAGCAGCAGGCACGGCAAGTGACAGAGTGCAAGTTGCTTGTACAGAGTAAAGAATCGGCGGGAGCACTTTGCAGTTGGCCTGCATGAGGTACGCCAAGGCTTTGTAAGCCACCCTGGACGCCAATGCTTCGCTTGCTTGCTGATGGGATTCTAGCGTTCTGTCTAGGGAATCTCTACTCCGTAGATCACTTTGATAGATTGATGACAGAGTGAAGCATAAAAAGATCGGATGGTTGCTGCTGATGATTGTCTGAACACTCTCTGTACACCGCTCGGTTGGCCCCCCGGAGGCATGGAGAGGCATGGCAGGAGGCATCTATCTTCCAAGGGAACAAGTGAGTGCGACATGCGACGGCTGGAACGGCCCCTCCACGTTCTCTCCCAAAAATGGTATTCAGGGTCCGTCTTTCTGCTCCGAGAATAAAGCCAAGTGGCGGGCGGCTCAGGGCAAGGAACCGCCGTCTTTCAAGCTTCTTTGCAGACTGGACAGTGTCTTCAAAGAAGAATATCACCAATCTCGCAATCTGACCCCGAAGCTGGGTTCAGATGTCACCGATGGACTGGGCCCCTCTTGTCAAAAATAGCATCAGCACAAGGGATAGCGCTGTGGCTGGCCCCATGTAAAGGAGGGGCACAGTCAGCAAACAATTTCCATGCTCCAACAGCAGCAAGGGGCGAATGCGAACATGTGTTTGAGAAGGCCAAAGAGGGTCGCGTATCGCTCTGGATTCAGAGATATGTTGGCGATGATTCTCTGCCTCCCGCCTCTCTGCCCCTCCAATGCCCTCCCAGCGCTTGGTGTTGAGGTAGTCCGAGGAGAAGGAGCCGAATGCTACCGTGAATGCGGAGGCCTACCGCTTACGAGGTACCTTACCCAGCAACAAGACCCATTCAATAATTCCCTAATTCCCGTTTAAACTGCTGCCTGGTTGAGAGAGTCCACTGCTAGTCTGCTTCTTGTCAGCTGAGAGTTCGGTCGATCCAGAACATGTCGACCTTGAATATCTAAAAAGTTAATATTGCTGTAGGATGTGACCGATAAGGAAGGTGCTTCAGGCTGCAGGACAGACATTGTCTGATTTGCTGTGAAAGAGCAAGATGGAGGGGGAGAAAGGCTGTGTCTGTCGTTGTGTGAAGTTGGTTGAGATAAGCCACTCGCTCGCTGTGTCTTGGGCTGAAACCACGCTACGGGAACTCGGACCATTTGCCAAGAGATCCGCTGCCAAGCAGATGATCTGCAACTTGTCAGCGGGCCTGGGCGGGGATCGGACTTTATCTGATTTTGGCCTGAGGAACAGGGCGTGCATGACCGACAAATCAATTAATCGACACCACGTGCTGTCGCGGCGCGTCGCATCTTGACGCGCTTCTTAGCTCCTCTGCTGGGCAGGGGACCCTTTTTCGCACCTCTGCGTTTGTTTCTTGGGCAACTGAATCTATTCACGTCGACTGAGCGGATCAATTGTACCAGAAACTCGACGAAAATACAGCTCATTATGGCCCGCCAATCAGCCAGACAAGCTTCCCAAGCCAAGCCAACCGCAGAAGCCATCGGCAGGGTCGAAAAGAAAGTCGTCGAAACCAAAGTCTCAAAGGCAAAGTCGGCCGCCTCCGTTGTCGAGTCCAAGGTGGAAGTAAACAAAAGAGCCACAACCAAGCGCAAAGTCGACTACAATGAAGACAAGGAAGACGAGAGCGTCAAGTCTGACGTCAATGGCATCAATGACATCAAGGAAGAAGAAGACGACGAACCCTCCACCAAGCCAGCCCCCAAGAAGCGCAAAACAACCACCACCTCCTCCAAAAAGACAGACGACAGTATGCCTCTCGCCGCCCGCACCCCCCTCAACACCCTCAAACTAGCCATGAAGATTGGCGCCCACGTCTCCGCCGCCGGGGGGGTTCAAAACTCCATCACCAACGCCTCCAGCATCGGCGCCAACGCCTTCGCCATCTTCCTCAAACCTCACCGAACCTGGAAATACCCCCCCTTCTCTCCAGAAACCCCCTCCCTCTTTTCCTCCCTCCTAAAAACAAACACCTACACCCCCGACATCATCCTCCCCCACGCCAGTTACCTCATCAACCTCGCCCAACCCGACAAGGAAAAATCCACCCAAGCCTACTCCTCCTTCCTCGACGACCTGAAGCGATGCGACGCCCTGGGCATAACCCTCTACAACTTCCACCCGGGATCAACCGGCGGCCTCCCCATGTCCGAAGCCTGCGCCCGGATAGCCTCCCACCTCAACACCGCCCACAAAGCCACCAAATCCGTCATCACCGTCCTAGAGAACATGTGCGGAAGCGGTAACATCATCGGCTCCTCCTTCTCCGACCTCGCCACAATCATATCCCTCGTCGAAGACAAGTCCCGCGTCGGCGTCTGCGTCGATACATGCCACGCCTTTGCCGCCGGCTACGACATCCGCTCGCCGGAAGCCTACGCCAAAACAATGAGGGAATTCGACGAGGTCGTCGGGCTAAAGTACTTGAAAGCCTTCCATCTAAACGATAGCAAAGCCCCCTTTTCATCACACCGGGACCTTCACGAGAATATCGGACAGGGATTTCTCGGGTTGAGAGCGTTCCACAACGTGGTCAATGATGAGCGGTTACAGAACATCCCTATGGTGCTCGAGACACCTATTGAAGTCAAGGGGCCGGACGGCAAAAAGACAGAAGACAAGAAGATCTGGGCGGATGAGATCAAGCTGCTCGAGTCGTTGATAGGGATGGATGCCGAGTCAAAGGAATTTAAAGATTTGGAGGTGGAGCTTCAGAAGAAGGGCGCGGCAGAGAGGAAGAGGATTCAGGAGCAGGTGGACAAGAAGGCTGACAAGGATGCCAAGAAGGCGGCGCCGAAAGGGAAAAAAGGGGCCGCTGCTGCTGCGAAGAAAAAGAAGAAGACCGAGGAGGAGGCATGTGATTCTTGTGGTGAGGAGAGCGAATAGAGGGGCCGGATAAAGTGTATAAAAAGTGTGTAAACTGAATATCTACCAAGAGGCATAAAAAAAACAAAAAAAAGGAGGGGGGGGGGTTCTCTGCCTCGACTGTGCATGTCTATCATGTACAACTGTATAACCACAAAGGTCAAACTTAAACCCTAATAGCAAGAAAACAATACTCTCTCACACCCACAACAAAAGAAACCCAACCGGTTGATGTGTTTCCTTCAACACACCATCTCTACCTCCGTCCCCTAGCCCAACCCTCCACCCTCCCCAACCCCCCTCTAATTCCCAACCCCCGCTCCCCATTCTGCTCCAACCAACCCTCCATCCTCTCCCTATACCCCCTCAACCCCCTAACAAGCGGCATCCGTCCCCCCTCCTCCCCCCCGACAAAATTCCCCGGATTCAACAACATCTCGAACAACCCCCCCCAAATCTCCGTCTGCCAATACCTCTTCAAGTTCTCCCTAATCCTATACCTCTTCCCCAATCCATTCCCATCCCTCACCCCAACCGTCTCGATATACTTCCCAAACAACAAACAATGCACTATCCCCGCCACCCCAAAATACTCAATCTGCCACGTCCACAACCTCCCCTCCCTCACCTCGTTACAGTCCTGACTCGTCGTCTTCCAATCAGCCACAAACTGAACATCATCCCTAAAATTCCTCATGTCGATCCCGCGCCCAAAATCAATCAACGTAATTCCCCGCGAGGCCCAACCCCCGTCACCCGAGGGTTGATACTTCGTCGACAGCGGTGTCTCATCACCGGGAAGGCGCAAGAGGCAGTTGTCTGCTTTCAAGTCACCATGCATGATCCCCTTGGCGTGAAGAGCCTCCACTGTGCGTAAGAGCTCAATAGTAAAAAACATGGCCAGCTGCTCGTCCATCACGCCCGAGGCTTCCCCGCGGAAGAGGTTGACCACATCCAGCAGCGTCCCGAAGGGGTGATACGGCAGGAATAAAAAGCATTCATCCTGGTAAAGGTGAAACTCCAACGCTGGAGACAACGAAGCCGTTGCCCTGTCGTGCGGACCAAGACGGTTGTGCGCCAGACGCATCATGTAAAACTCCCAAGGAGTAGGCGGGGACTCCATCTTGAGTGCCTCCTGCGGGTAACGCTTATGATGGGCAGAGGCAAAACGCCCCTTGCCCATGATGGCGTTTTCGTTGTTTTCGTCATCGTCGTCGTCGGCGTCGGAATTATTCACCGAAGGGTGGGAGTTGTTGACGAGATACACCGGGGGCAAAGGCTCCGGCGCCGAGTTCACGGCGGATGGCGTATTCCCTTTCTGTGCCGGGAAAGCGGAGGGTGACAGACGACCCAAGGTTGGAAGACTTGTCGCCTGTGCTGGAGCGGTTGCCGCCTTTGCCGATTGCTTTGCAGTACTTTCTTATCTCGGCACTGCGGTCAGACTTCTCGCTGCGGTGGTCGTAAAAGCCATCGTACGAAGTCAAGGGAGGCTGGATGTTCGATAAAATCTCGCCTCGGACAGCGGTGTCGACAGGATTGCACTGGGCATCCTTGATAATAGGCCCCTTGTTGTGGATAACGAGCGTCTTGGTTGCCTTGGGCGTCAGCACCTTGGTGGCAAGGGGCTTCGACGCCAACGCAGGTCTGGCCTTGGGAAGCAGCGGCTGAGGCACCTTGCCCTTGGGAAAGGCATTCTCATCCTCAAACACACCCCGAGCCGGACTGCTGAGCGGTGTCAGATCTTCCCCTTCCTCCTCATCCTCTTCGGCAATCATGTTCTTGTTGATCTGCCTCGACGGGGTCTTGCTGTGTAGCTCGTACCGACCCATATCAGCCGTGACATCAAGCGACATTTCCGTTCGTTCCGTGATGGGAGTCATGAATGGAAGACGGTTGTTAGCCGCCTCCACAGGATCCCTCCACGGTCGTCGTGTCGGCACATAGTCTTCAGGGGGTATAGGAACAAACATGGTCCTCGTTCTAGGAGGCTCATCCGGATGATCGTCCTCTTCCCCATCATGAACATCGATCAAATCGTCCGACTGGTCTTGATGCTGCTTGTGTGATGATTCCGACCACACACTGGCATTTTCATCACCATCACCATCGACATCATCCTCTTCTTCATCCTCCTCATCCTCATCGACATCACTGGTTGAAATACGCCTGGTGCCATCACCCATGGTATAATCATCCGACTCATACCCCCTTTCGTCATCACTACCACCAAGAGGCTTTACCGGCTTGACTTCCGCATTGAAAATGTCGTAGATATCGTCCGTGGCCGCCTTGGTGTGCAGAGTCATAGTCGGCTCACCGACAGACTGCCTCTTCTTCTTCTTCAGCTTCTTCGGGCCCGAAGGAGAGTCAAAATTCGTTTGAACTGCTTCACCGTCAGCAAATTACCCCCTTACCAACAATCCCCAAAAATAAACTCACTGGTTTGCGTCTCATTCAATTCCTGCTTCTTCTTTCTCCTCATCGTCTTCTCCCCCTTCGGATAAATCGGCGCCCCATTCTCATCCAACCTAATCACATCCGCATGAATCGCCATCTTCTGCGGCTTTCCTCCCACATTCCCAGCCCCCGGGAAGCTATTCTCATCATTCATAAACAGCGTCGACTCATGCTGCTGCTCATCCTCCCACTCAACATCCAGCCACCCCCTATTAGCCGCCCAAATCTCCTCAAAACTCTTCTCCGTCCCCGGCTCATCAGGCGTCGGATACACAGCCCTCAAGTCCACATAAATCCTCTCCCTCTTCCCACTCGCCGGATTCACAGTAACCTGAACCTTGGTATAGTCAATTCGAATGTGCGATTGTGATATCTGCTTGTCCATAGACTGAAGTACATAGAAACGCCAGCAACAAACGGCCCACAAATTAGTCCTAAATTGATCAACACTTTTGCTTATGTTGGAAAGTTACGGGGCAGGACCTACCGGATCTCTGAACACCGCCATCTTGGCCCCAGCACTAGGCGGTTTCTTTCCTCCCGCCTTCAACGTCTCCCCAGCCCACGGCTTCGGCGCCATGGTGTTCTCCTTTTTTCTTTCGGCCATCGACCCAATCGAGTCCCACCCCTTCGACTCCGGTCCACGAGAGGACATGGCCGACGGTTCCGGCGCAGCATCCGCATCCGAGAAAATCGCCAGCTTCGACTTCGCCGGCCTTGCTCCCCCACCCCCAACACCACTCGTCTGCCTCGGCGCCTGAGGATCCCTCACCACCGGCTCGGCAGCCCCAAAAGGATCAGCCCTCACCCCAAGCACCTTTCTCTGCGCCGGAATCGCCGGACTACTCGGCCCATCGCCCTCCTCTTGCGCCGCCCGCCGTTGTTCAAACTCCCCAAACTTCCTCAACAACCTCGCCGCAGGCGTAGCCTCCCTCTCAATCCCCAACTTGTAAACCTCCTCCGCCTGCGCCCACCGTCCCACACTCTCCAACCACCCAGCATACTCCTCATAAAACAACGCCAACCCTTCCCCAATCCCCTTGCTCGACAAAAAAACATATCCTTCCCGTTTATTATCCATAAACCACCCCACATACCACAACCACAACCTCAGATACCTCCCATCCTGCTTATACCTTTTGTCATTGACCAACCCCCGTGTCGCACGCTCCAGCACCCCTAGCAGCCCCGACTCTTTGGTGTTTTGCGCCGAGGGGTAGGCTTCCAGAGTCCACTTTACGTACCGGTCCCAAATGTCGAGGGGGTCGTCGGACTCGTCAATGTTTTGAATCTCTTGCTCAAAAGAGGCTTTTATTCTGGAGTTTTCACCTTTGAGGTCGTCGAGGTTGGAATGGGGGGAGGAGGAGGGGTTGCCCCGGGGGGAGAAGAGCTGGGCGAGTTTTTTGGCGGAGCGGCCGGAGGGGAGGGATTGGATGTTTTCTTTGTGGCCTTCGATCAAGTCAAAATTGACCGAATCATCGTTGTCGGGCATTGTTGTTTGTGGTGGCCGAGACCTCGGCGGGGGATGTTGGTGTTGTTGGTAAAGTCGGACGTCAAGAAGGATGGAAAAAAAACAAAAAACAAAGATGGGGTATGGCAGGAAAAGAAGTGAGTCAACTGTTGCAAGATGCACTGCAAGGCGTGTCGTGCCCGGCGGAAAAAGGACAGCGCGTTGGTGAAATTTAGGAGGGGTTGATGTCAGGTCGAGTCGAGGGTTGGTCGCGACCCAATCTGGACCCCGCTAATAAGACCCCCGCTGGCTGCTGCTGGGTTTCAAGTGTACAAAATATTTTGGGAGATGGGGGTTGTTGTAGCAACCGAATCGACAGGTGGTGCACAGTTGTCGGCCAACATGCTGCGTGCGAGCAGGGTTAGGGTTGACCATGCTCAACTACCTGATGGGCAACCACACCTATGAGTGAGCAACCCAAGGGGGACAAGCCCAGTTATGGTGCTCTATGCGCTTCCAGCAAGAGTGTCATGATATGTCCAAAACTCCATTAAGTGTGGTTTTGCCTGGAGGTCGAAGCCAACCTATACCTACCTGGTACCTACCTACCCGCCCAGCTGTGCAACATGAGCGCGCGGCATTGGCAAGGAGGAGGCCGCGCCCCCCCCCTTTCCAATGAGGGATGAAAGCCTCATAACCTTCTCACAAAGACACAAGAGCCCTTCATTTGTCCCCCAAAGCCGTAGCCAGTAATTCCCCATGGAAGCCCTCGCCGCAATATCCCTAACAGGCAACATCCTCCAATTCACCCAATTCATCTCCAGCCTCGTCACAACCGCGGGGGAGCTCTACCAAACCCCAGATGGCTTCTCGTCCTCCGATGCCACAGCCGACATTGAGACAACCCACCGTCGCCTTCTCAACTTTAGCGCCCTCTTGCAACAGAACCAGATAGCGACACCCCAACAATCAGCAATTGGCGTCAACGATGCAAACGCCTTGGCGAATGACCTCGCAAAGGAGTGCAAAGGCATCTGTGATGAGCTCTTGGAGATGACAGGAAAGTTGAGACTCAAGGAAAAGGGAAGTCGGAGGTTAAACAGTTATGTCGCTGCCTTCAAAATGATCTGGAACCGGGAGAGGATAGAGGGGATTTGGAAGAGGCTGAATAGGTTTCAAGACATTGTTTCTATGCACTTTCTGCCGGTAATCAGGCAAGTAGAGCGGGCATTTTTTGGCAAATCGGATTGTGCTAATTATAGGGATGGGTGTCTAGTGCACAACAATCGAGTCTTCTGGATACGGTCGAAACTCTCAGACAAGAAAGCAATAGTATGAAAATTGACCAGACCAAGAAACTCGACTCTATCACCAAAACTCTATCCGAGGTAACTTCAGTAAACAAGAACCTCGGCGCGGAACTGTTGAAGCTTTTCCACGGCTCAAGACAGAAACTCTTGGCCCCGGCTTCACTAGAGAGATTGTCATGGGGAATCAAGAAGCTTGATCTGACCAAAAACGACATCGCAGCCCTCGCAAAGGAGCAGGCTGTTCTCAAAAGCCTGAACTTCTCCTCCCGAGCGGTACGCCACGATAACATCCCTCTAGCTTACGAAAAACATGTTTCGCTGGATGTTGGAACCGCCACCACCGGACATTGATGTCGATGACGACCCTGCCAAACACCGCTTCTTCAACTGGCTCAAAACCGGGGACGGCATCTTCTGGGTCTCCGGCAAAGCCGGTTCGGGCAAGTCAACCCTGATGAAGTTCCCCGCCGACCACGAAACAACCCAAACCATGCTCGAAGAATGGGCCAAACCATTCAAGCTCCTGACCGCAAGGCACTACTTCTGGGCAGCCGGCACGCACATGCAAAAATCCCACGAGGGTCTCTTCAAAACCCTCCTCTACGAAATCTTCTGCGCCTGTCCCAGCCTCATCCCTGCCGCTTGTCCCCTTCGCTGGAGGCAGACCTGTCCCGAACGGACCGAGCAGCAGAGCACCGAGTGGACAACCCGTGAACTTTCCGAAGCCCTGCACCATCTCGGGCGGAATCAAGACCTCCACATCCGGCACTGTTTCTTCATCGACGGCGTCGATGAGTTTGACGGTGATCACCTCATGCTCTGCGAGATTCTTTCCAACCTCAGCCAGTCCCCCAACAGCAAGCTCTGTCTCTCCAGCCGGCCATGGAACGTCTTCATCGATGCCTTTGGCAATAACATTGCGCGCAAGATCAGCATCGAGGATCTCACGCGCGAGGATATTCTGCGCTATGCAGAGAGGCGGCTCACAGGACACCCCAGGTGGAATCTTCTCCATTTCTCACCGCAGGACAAAACCGCCATTATCGATTCGATCACCGACAAGGCCCAGGGTGTTTTCATCTGGGTGTTCCTCGTAACAAGATCAATACGAGACGGTCTAACCAACCTCGACACAATGCTCGATCTCCAGCATCGACTCGAAAGCCTCCCCACCGACCTCGAGCGCTTCTTCAAACACATGCTCAACCTCATCGACAGCATCTACCACCAAAAAATGGCGAGCTTCCTCAGCATATCCGCCCATGCCAAGCAGCCGCTCTACTACCTAACTTTCAGCATGCAAGAGCGCGAAAGCGAAGTCGAGGACTACGCCCTCAAGATGGCAATCTCCCCAACCTCCCCGCCCGAAGAAGAGCAGCTATACGATCGGTGCCGACGCCGTGTCAATGCCATCTGCGGGGGGTTGCTAGATGTAAAGGGCACCTCAGTCGAGTTCCTCCACCGAACAGTCCGCCACTTTTTGCTCACTCGGGAAATGAACGACTACCTCAGTTCGAAAACGAAACCAGGGCTTTCCACTCCTCTCTCAACTCTGCGGGCTTACACAGCCTGCTTGAAATGCAGTGCACCACCCACATCGTCTGACTTTGCCTCCTTGTTACGAACGCGTCTCCTCAAGGAAGGTCTCTCGTATGCGCACGAGGCGTTGGAGGACGCGGAAGAGACAGCAGTCGAGCTGCTCGATGATATCGAGAATCTCTTCGCCGCGCCATTAGAAGACGGTGAAGATGCCATGGAGTGGAACCTGCTCGAACCGGCCGAGTTCAACGGCGATACCACCATCGGAGACGTTGTTGCGTCGGGAAACGAGGCATCCGATTTCCAGTTTCGAAAAGAGGTCCTCCGGACAGGGGCGGCAAAGTATGTCTCGAGGAAACTCAACGACAGTTTGTACTACTTTGACGACTTGAAGGAGTGGCCGCTTTTGCTTGGTCATTGAGGAACAGCAGTGGACCGAAGGTCATCTGCAAGTGATCCAGTGTCTGTTGAAGGCCGGCAAGGATCCGAACGAGGGGTACGGCGGGTGGCAATCGCCTCCGCCTTGGACAAAGTTTATTCAGCGGACCTGCCAGGAGGAATACAAGGACGACTTTTGGAGAGCAATAGAAACGGACTTGTACTTGGCGTTTCTGCATCATGGTGCGGCGAGGAATGCTCGGGTTGAGCTGTTTAGGTTTGCTGAGCCGGCGGTATTGGATGCGATGAGTTGTTTCATCGAGATGTTGTTCGCGCGACATGCGAGACATTCTGATAAAGCCTTGCGGGTATTGGAGGCGTTTCTCGACCTGTCAGCTGGCGTGGATATTTCTGATGAGGTGCTGATCACTTTGTTTGAGGGAGTAGGCAAACTCAGGCCCAGAGCAACGAAGCCAGATCGGCTGAGGTTCTATCGAAAGATCACGGAAATGGTTGTGAATACTGGGGCGTCTTTGGGATGGGAAATGTCCTTTTTACTAGAGAATATACAAAAGGCATTTCCCGGCGTTCTTGGGGTGCCTATTCTTGCTGTGATCGGGGTTAGAGATGATGGACAACCGGTTATCGTCCCTCCTAAGAGGAAGGCCGAAAAGGAAGGGGACTTGTGGGAGAGGACTTTGAAGCGAACCAAGCGGACTATAGAGGAGGGGTTTGGCCTTCAGGAGCCATCATGTGATGGGTTGCTGGACCAGTAGTGACACATAAACTACCACCGATCGCCTCGAGGCAGGTGAGAGAATCAACATGCTCCACAGGCTCAGGGTAAATAATCACCGATCTCCGGTAATAGACTGTAGTCGAGCCTTGGATATGTCTAGCCCTGCAGCCTGCCAAATGTCAGCCCTTTTTGTGGAGTTACATGTCATGGCCGGCAAACCACGGCAATAGGCGAGAACCTTGAGAGGTCATGCCGGCAATGTGGTCCACGATCACCCCGCAACTTTCCGAACGAGGATCCATCCAAGTTTGGACTTTGAAAAAGAATTCACATTGGTATTTCCCTGATTTCTAAGGCTTCGTCACCCTTTTCATAAGTCATCTCAGACATCTTTTGACCCGAGGTAAACCTGTTACCAGCAAATCACCAGACCCCGTCCCTCTGGGTTCCGATTCCCCCCGAGGCATCCCACCGCGTCCACCTTACAAGTTGATGGACTTGCGGAAGTTCTCGCCGGCATACACGGCGTTCTCGCCAAGCTCCTCCTCGATGCGGAGAATCTGGTTAAGCTTGGCCAGGCGCTCCGATCTGCAGGGAGCGCCGGTCTTGATCTCGCCGGAGCGGATACCGACGGCAATGTCGGCGATGGTGACATCCTCGGTCTCACCAGAGCGATGAGAAACCATGACGCCCCAGCCATCGGCATAGGAGTCCTTGGCGGCCTGGATGGACTCGGTAAGGGTACCGATCTGGTTGACCTTGAGGAGAAGGGCGTTGGAAGCCTTGAGCTCAATGGCCTTCTTGATGCGGAGAGGGTTGGTGACGGTTAAGTCGTCAGCAACGATCTGGATGGACTCGCCCTGGGTCTTGTAGAAGTAGCTCCAGGCCTCCCAGTCATCCTCAGCGAAGGGGTCCTCGATGGAGACGATGGGGTACTTCTTGCAAAGGTCGGAGTAGAGGGCAGCCAACTCCTCGTAGGTGAGCCACTTGGAGGGGTCGCTCTCGGGGTTCTTGAAGTCGAGATCGTACTTCTTGGCGTCCTCCTTGTAGAACTCGCTGGAGGCGACATCCATGGCGATCTTGATCTGGCCAGTGTAGCCAGCGGCCTCAATGGCCTCGGTGATGAGCTCGAGGGCCTCCTCGGCGCTCTGGATATCGGGAGCAACACCACCCTCGTCACCGACGTTGCCAGCGGACTGGCCGTACTTCTTCTTGGCGAGGCCCTTGAGCTTCTGGTACACCTCAGCACCCTGGCGCATGGCCTCGGAGAAAGAGGGGGCGGCGGAAGGAACGATCATGAACTCTTGGAAGGCAAGACGGCCACCGGCGTGGGAACTATCGAGGGATGTCAGCACATGTTTGATAGCGCATGATAGCGGCCAGCAGAGCAACTTACCCGCCGTTGAGGACGTTCATGAAGGGAACGGGGAGGACATAGGGCTTCTTGGTGCCGGCAAGGTCGGAGACGTGAGCGTAGAGAGGGACACCCTTCTCGGCAGCACCGGCCTTGGCGACAGCCAAACTGACACCGAGAATGGCGTTGGCACCGAGCTTGGTCTTGTTGGGGGTACCGTCGAGCTTGAGGAGGAACTCGTCGACCTTGCTCTGGTCCTTGACGTCAATCTTCTCCTTGATGAGCGCGGGGCCAATGACCTCGTTGACGTTCTTGACGGCCTGGAGAACACCCTTGCCAGCCCAGTGGGTCTTGTCGCCGTCACGGAGCTCGCAAGCCTCGTGCTGACCTATATTTCACCGTGTCTGTCAGATATGGCTTCTCCTCGACGGGGGTATTTGGGTAAGACGAACCGGTGGAGGCACCAGATGGCACGATGGCGCGGGCGAGGCCAGTCTCCTCGGTCACGACATCGACCTCGACGGTGGGGTTGCCACGAGAGTCGTAGACGTAACGAGCGTGAACCTTGGTGATACCCATTGTGGATGATTTTCTGATGGGAGATGGTCAGTTATCTGTTGGCTATGGGGTCTGCCGGAGTACGGGAGCGGTCAAGGACGGACTTGTGGTAGGTGAAAAGCAAGGCTGGCGGGTGGCGGGAAAGGGTATGTTTGGAGGGAAGGAGGAAAGGTTGAAGAATTGTTGACGTATTGATTGGTATCAAGGTCCCAAAAGTCGCTCAATTGCAAGCTAGGACAGACCAGGTTCGTGGAATATCCCGCAAGACTGGGTGGTTCGTCACCCAACGTGCGAATCCACGGGAGCTGGATGGTGGCAGAGCTCGAGGTGCCACGGCGTGGAGGTGATATGGGACGACAAAACAGGACAGGAGGCCATCGGATGATGCCCTGGACATACGTACCTGAGGTTTGATGGACTAATGAGTGGTGGAAGGTCTCTCGATGTTATAGGACGAGGCTGGGAAGAGTGAAGATGGAAGAGGGAAGAGAATCAAGACGATGCACTCGGGGCTGGAGGTGGAAGCTTTTGGGTGAGCAGAGACGGAGGGAGGGGCAGGTCGTCTGGTGGGGTGATCCCTGGTCGAAGGTAGGTAGCGAGAACCCCCCTCTTGTTAGTGACTGCCAAGGGTTTGCCATATCGGAAGCACCTCGCAGGTCGAAGGCGGGAAAGCTCTCGGTGTGTACCGTCTACATGCTACACCATCCCTGCCCTAATGCCCAGCCGATGTCAATTGCCAACCATGGGGCTGCATGTGGGCGGATCGAGTGGCCGAGAGGACGGTTGTCTCTCGCCCGGTCAGGCCGTCCCCGTTCGGCGCAGGCGACTTCAATTCTATTCTTCTAAGAATCCGTTGTCGGAGCTTCATCCCTGACAGTCCGGTGGGATGGCGTGGGGTGTTGAATTGCAGACAGTCAAACATCCTTTTCACAACAGTCACAGCTGGAGACCCCCACCCAAGCACATGGAGGTCCCGTCGCCTTGCTGCAAAGTTTGCGGCGGCTTTGCACGGGCGAGTTGTCTGCTCGCATCCGCCCCGGCCGATGTCAACCTTTTTTTGATATTGATGGATAAGACGGTTGCCCCTCCATGGCCAGACTGACAACTGGTTGAGCTACCCCGCAGCCCAAGTTTTAAGACGTCAACAAGTGGATCACAGCACTGGCCAGGTCCACCCCAACAGAAGAAGAGCTCAGCTCTTGTCGAGAAGCTTCCAAAGACCCTTGAATCAAGATCGAAGCATTGATATGAAAGCTCTCCCAAGAATGTAGCGATGAGAAGGCTTTGGCACTCTGTCTTGAGCAATTATCCCATGTATGACCTTATCACTTCACTAAGAGGGTTGGGGTGCTGTTCTCGAGTTCTGTCATGATCTTCATTTCTGCGGTCAGCCACGGAACTCCGTACAAGTGTCCCGGAAGGTTACAGAGTCTCATATTGCTGGCGAGCTCCCGTGTGTTGTGCTCCTGAAGAAAAAAAATCGTCCAGCGGGATCCGACCTACAACAAACATCTGGCGGGATCCGTCAACGCCAATTTTCCCAACTATAGCTATTGGCAGACCAGAGGCAAAGATCAACAGATTAAACAAATATCTAGCAGCCATACCTAACAAAAAGTCATCCGGAACATAATAGCTTCACCATTACGTGCTCCCATCTGACCAAGAGTTGAGAGATGAAGTTGCTCCTGACCGCCTGCCTAAAATGGTCTAATAGCTTCTTGCGTGGTCAGTCAGCAGGAAGGGGCGGAAAAGGAGGCCTGTGCTCAGCCAGATTGCCCGCCTTTACAGGCCACCAAGGTGCATCAATTTGGGAGTTTGCAGGAAAGAGCCTTCTGACGAGCACCGCACGTAAGGAAGGTGCGATAGTTGGGCTCATTGTACATAAAATTGTTGCTTTTCGTCTCTCCTTCACTCTCTTCTTTTCCATCATGTTCCGTTCTTGCGTTGCAGCACGGCCAACAGCCAGCCAGGGAGCCCGGAGACATCTAGGACTTGCACCGTTGAGAAGAACAGCGCAGAGTTTTACTTCACGGTATGCAACTGGAAGGTCGCCTCTGACGGGACCCGCTCCCCCTTCTAGGAAGTACTAAGGCCCAAGCGGATTTGCTAAACCACCCCGCAGTCACTCATCATCACCCTCATCAGTCTCAGTCTCACCACGGCGGTCTTACTCTGCCACTTCTATTGCTACTGCCACCCTCACTTCGAAAACAACAACTTCCACTTCTCAACGCCCTCTTTTGACCCAGCGAACAGCTCGCCTAGCAACTCGTCCACCAGTCCGGCACTGCTCATACCGCCGTCACAACATGTGCAGAACTCACGCCCAAGCCGATGTGGCTAGTGGGGTCAATGTGGCAGCTCGTGAGCTGCTCCCCACCAACGTCATCCCACGGCACTATCATGTTACTCTCGAGCCCAACTTCAAGGACTTCACCTTCGACGGCACTGTCGTGATTGACCTCGATGTGGCCGAGGACTCCAAGTCCATTTCCCTTCATACCCTTGAGCTTGACGTGCACAGTGCCACTGTCAGCTCCGAGGGGCAGACTGTCAGGTAGGTTCCATACCCCGCCAACAATGCTCGTTCCGCCCCTGAATGGGCCACCAAAGCTCACAATAAACACAGCTCCTCGCCCAAGATCTCATACAATGAGACCACCCAAGTCACCACGTTTGACTTTGACAATGAAGTCCCCAAAGGCAAGAAGGCCCAGCTTGAGATCAAGTTCACTGGTCAGCTGAACGACAAGATGGCCGGTTTCTACCGTTCGACTTACAAGAAGGAGGACGGCTCCCAGGGTCTTCTTGCCGTCAGCCAGATGGAACCTACCGATGCTCGCCGCTCTTTCCCTTGCTTTGACGAGCCTTCACTCAAGGCCGAGTTCACAGTCACACTCATTGCCGACAAGAACTTGACCTGCCTCAGCAACATGGATGTTTCTGGCGAGACAGAGGTTCAGTCGAAGCAGACCAATGCCGCCAAGAAGGCCGTCACCTTCAACAAGTCACCACTCATGTCCACATACCTTGTGGCTTTTGTTGTTGGTGAGCTGAACTACATCGAGACCAACGAGTTCCGTGTCCCCGTCCGTGTGTATGCTCCCCCTGGCCAAGATATTGAGCATGGTCGCTTCTCACTCAACCTCGCTGCCAAGACTCTCGCGTTCTATGAGAAGGTCTTTGGCATCGAGTTCCCCTTGCCCAAGATGGACCAGATCGCTATCCCCGATTTCGCCCAGGGCGCCATGGAGAACTGGGGTCTGGTGACGTACCGTGTTGTCGATTTGCTGCTGGATGAAAAGGCCAGTGGCGCGGCGACCAAGGAGCGTGTTGCTGAGGTTGTTCAGCACGAGCTGGCTCACCAATGGTTTGGTAACCTTGTCACTATGGATTGGTGGGATGGCTTGTGGCTCAACGAGGGCTTCGCTACCTGGGCCTCGTGGTATTCCTGCAACATCTTCTACCCCGAGTGGAAGGTCTGGGAGACGTATGTTGTCGACAACCTTCAGCGCGCCCTGTCTTTGGACTCCCTCCGCAGCAGTCACCCCATTGAGGTGCCTGTCAAGCGAGCCGACGAGATCAACCAGATCTTCGATGCCATTTCTTACTCCAAGGGCTCTTGCGTCCTGCGCATGATCTCAACCTACCTTGGCGAAGATACCTTCCTGGAGGGTGTCAGACGTTATCTCAAGAAGCACGCCTACGGCAACACCCAGACCGGAGACCTCTGGGCGTCTCTTGCTGAGGCCAGCGGAAAGGGCGTCGAGGATGTTATGCAGGTGTGGACCAAGAACATCGGCTACCCTGTTGTGACCGTCGAGGAGAAGGGCGACAACACCGTCAAGCTGAAGCAGAACCGCTTCCTGCGCACTGGCGACACCAAGCCCGAAGAGGACAAGGTCATCTATCCCGTCTTCTTGGGTCTCCGCACCAAGGATGGTATTGACGAGTCGCAAACTTTGAGCAAGCGTGAGGACACCTTCAAGGTGCCCAACAACGACTTTTTCAAGCTCAACGCCAACCACACCGGTCTGTACCGCACCTCTTACTCCCCTGAGCGTCTCGCCAAGCTTGGCGAGGCTGCCAAGAACGGTCTTCTCAGCGTGGAGGACCGCGCCGGTATGATTGCCGATGCCGGTGCTTTGGCTACCTCTGGCTACCAAAAGACGTCTGGAGTCCTGAATCTCCTCAAGGGATTCGAGACGGAGACCGAGTTCGTTGTCTGGAACGAGATCATTGGTCGTGTTGCCTCAGTTCAGAGTGCCTGGATGTTCGAGGACAAGGCTGTCCGCGACGGCCTGGAGGCTTTCCTGCGCGAACTTGTTAGTGCTAAGGCGCACCAACTTGGCTGGGAATTCTCCGAGAAGGATGGTCATATTGAGCAGCAGTTCAAGGCTATGCTCTTCGGAAGTGCTGGTCTGTCCGGGGACCAGAAGATCATCGATACGGCCAAGGAGATGTTCAAGAAGTACATGGCCGGTGACCGGTCTGCTGTGCACCCCAACATTAGGGGCAGCGTCTTTAGTATGGCGCTGAAGCACGGTGGCAAGGAGGAGGTGCGTTGTTTTGTCCCCTATTGTCTATGATGGATGCTGACTGTGTTGTTAGTACGACGCCGTCCTCGACTTCTACCGCAAGTCTACCAACAGTGATGAGCGCAACACTGCCCTGCGCTGCCTCGGCCGTGCCAAAGATCCCGAGCTGATCAAGAGAACTTTGGATCTCCTGTTCAGCGGTGAGGTCAAGGACCAGGATATCTATATGCCGACTGCTGGTCTGCGTAGCCATCCCGAGGGTATCGAGGCCTTGTATGAGTGGATGACGCAGAACTGGGAGAAGCTTGTCGAGAAGCTCCCTCCTGCGCTGTCTATGCTCGGTACCATGGTGACTATCTTCACGTCTAGCTTCACGAAGAAGGAGCAGCTTGCCAAGGTTGAGCAGTTCTTCGCTGACAAGAGCACCAACGGATTCGACCAGTCTCTTGCGCAGAGCCTGGACGCCATTCGCTCCAAGATCTCCTGGGTCGAGCGCGACCGTGAGGATGTCGCTGCTTGGGTGAAGGAGAACACGAAGAGTTCGTAAATGTCGACACGAGGACTATGAAGAAGATGGTTAGCCTGACGAATGGATGAGGCAGGAATCAAAAGCATTTCAAGTCATCTCTAGACTGGGGCGTTGAGTTAAAGCTGGCTTAAGTCATCATGGTAGACATGTAGACATAGAGTGCTGGCAATGTAAAATACAGAGACAACTACACCAAAATTACAAAACATTTTGACAAACATGGCCTCGTTGACCCCCCCCCCCCTCCCCACTTACCTTGATATTCTGCAGTTCGGAGATATTGAAGAGGTATCATGTAGAGCAGACGATCTGCGCAAGTCGCAGATCTGTAAAGTGCTCAAAGTGGAAGCTGTCAACGAGTGGCTCTGGAGCTCTCGGGCTTTTGAGAGGTATAGGAAGGTGAGGTGGTGGTCGGAGCTCATGGTCCGTGGTTCTCACTTGTCATTACTCTCCATCGCCCTGGATTGCGAACTGGTCCTGCGATTGTTATTTGAATCAATCTGGCAACCGATATACAGGTCAGGCCAACTTTCTTACCGGATTTCTATGATGATGAAGATCAATTCAAGCAAACCTTTATGCGCATCTTATCAGTTGTCGTTGCAGTCAAGTTAAAGCATGGGGGGAGGGTCGAAAGAGAATGGACCAATAAGATCATCACAAATTCTCCGGCCGAGCTATGTTTCAACCCCCTACCACCCCCCCTTTTGCCACGCCATTCCCCCCATCCCTTGGCTCTTGGGGACTGGCTGTATGGAAAAGCAAGAAGGTTTCATAGTTTCCCATTACCACCAACCCCTCTGATGGCAAGGGGAGTTTGTTAGTGGGATGTTACAGATCGAACGGTTGATCATCGCCGCTTACCTGGAGATCTCCGTAGTTCGGTGATCCCTGGTATGGCATGGGTAGTTGTTGTGAAGGAAAACCACCTGGTCTCCCCCGGGTTCTTTTTGGACTTGTATCTGTTCATCTTACATCCTCGAGTTCGCCATTTGCTTGAACTTCCGACGGCATCCCGCGAATCCTTTTTTTTGTTTCGTGGTTTGGGTCAATCACCGATGCTGGCATCATTGTTCTTTTCTTGAATCCTTCTTTTTTTTTTCGTTTCTTGCCGGCTGGGTCTGTGGCCTTTTTTCCCCTTTTGGTTTCTTTATCTTCCATCTCGTCGTTGTTGTTGTTGTGGTTGTCCATCTCCAGCCTTTTTGAAGAACTACCCCGACAAGCAACGACAGCTTCTCCCACTTGAGCGGCAAAGGATGTTCCCCAAACTCCTCACCACCACCCTTGCGGTCCTCCTCCTCCTCACTTTCTCCCCTCTCGGCGCCCTCTCGGCCCCTACTACAGCGCCAAAACCCCGCTGGTTCGAAACTTATTCTCATGTTGCCCGCCGCGCGATAGTGCCTCAGTCGTATTATGAGGTGCTGCATATCCGGAGACAGCAGTACGCCCTTGCCAATCCAAGGTCTATAGTCAAGGATGTTGTCTGCCTGGACAGAAAGGCGTATGTTCTCCCCCCCTCCCGCCCCTTATCTTTAGTTGGTGTAGGTGGCTAATAAACTGTAGGCATATTGTTGCTCATGACGAAGCCGCTGCCTCGCTCCAGATTTGCAACGGGAGTATAGCTGGCACGGGCAGAGGTCAGTACTGCCAGGACGGGCTGAAGGCAACAGAAGCAAAGGTCGGGACGGCAGTTTTTCGGCTGAAGAGCGTGAACGAGAGGCAGAGTATCAATGTTAGTAGGGAGAGGTGGCAAATGTGTGTGCAGGCGGCTAGGGAGGCTTGTCCTACGGGCGGGTTGAGAGGGGTTTGTCTTGGGGCGGCGAGGTGGGGTGGGAGTGTTGGGTTTGAGTTGGGGAATGCTTGAGCTTAGGGGATGTGAAGGAAAATAGAGATGTCTCTTTTGTGATTTTGGACAGGTGTTGGATGCGGTGAAGAGTTCGTATCACAAGTCGAGACTTTTCCATATGCTAGAAGAATTGCCAAATTTTCAAATAAATGACCCTTGATTCTCGAATGGTATTGGGTTAGTCTCGTCAGCATAGCTTAAAAGCAAAGGGGTTGGCGAGGGTTAGGGTTTAACGTGGTTTTGCATCGAAGTGGTCAAGATTGGGGAATCACATGACTTGGTGTCACTCATTAACGCGTCTCATTGTCCTATCGCCTTCGAACTGGTTTCGCAGGCTCTCATCTCGTCCATCAACTCACCACCCGTTGTATTCACCCGTCAACTTTTTTCATCAAACTGCTGTACATCGATTTACATAATCGACTTAACATTTCATTGTATATCGCCCTCACTCTCACCTTTTCTTGCAAGCAACAACACCATCGACTCCCACCTCTGACCACAAAATGCCCCTCGGCATCCAACGCCTCAACGCCAAGAAATCCCAACCCAACGACCGCATCATCTTCATCAAGCCCATCCCCGGGCCCCATGAAGCTATCGCTCAGGATTTCCTCGAGCGAATAGCTGCGCAATGCGGTGAGTTCCCCAACCCTTCCCGCCAGAGGAATCTCTTAACTTCAACCCCATCCTCTCAACTCAACGCATGCCTAACCCTAACCTCCAACCCTCACACTAACTAACAACCCCCCTTTCTATTAGTCCCCATAATGCGCCAACACCACCTCTCGGTCACCTCTTTAGAAGAATTCCCCCCCAACCGTGAATTCGTCGGCCGCAACTTCAACGCCGGCGAGGTAATCCAGCTAGTCCTCAAATCCCATTCAGGTCGTTGGCTCCCCTTCAACTATGTTCAAATGGTCATGATGCATGAGCTCGCCCACAACAAGCAGATGAATCATTCCAAGGCTTTCTGGCAGGTTCGCAACCAGTTTGCTGATGAGCTGAGAGGGTGGTGGCAGAGGGGTTTCACTGGGGAGGGTCTTTGGGGTAGGGGCGCATTGTTGAGTACGGGGGAGTGGGAGAGGAATGCGGTTGGGGAGGGGGAGGTGTTACCGGAGCATTTGTGTGGTGGGACGTATCGGAGTAGGAGGGGGGGAAGGAAGAGGAAGGTGAAGGTTGATTGGAGGGAGCAGAGGGAGAGGAGGATACTCAAGAAGTTTGGGGCGGGAGGGGAGAAGCTTGGGGAGGATGAGGCGGTGAAAAAGGAGTTGGAAAAAGGGAAGAAGGTGAAGGGGAAGCCGAGGGTGGCAGGGAGTGGGAGAGGGAGGGAGTTGAGGGCTGCGGCTGCTTTGGCGAGGTTGGAACAGGGGAGGAAGGGGGAGGGGGAGGTGATGAAAGAGGAGGGGGAGGAGGATGAGACGGATAGTGGGGATGAATATGAGGAGGATGTGAGCCAGGGTCCGGATGCGGTTGACTTTGATGGGAAGAAATTGCTTGATGGGAAAGGGCAGGGGATGGTGAAGGTTTGCGACGACGAGAATCCCAATGATCAGGATGCGCAGGATGAACTGCGGGAGTTGCAGAGTTTTGGGAGGATCAAGAAAGAGCCTGGAACTGGGTCGTTGATTCTCAACTCGGTCAAACCAACACCGATAAAGCCAGACACCTCATCAGAAAAGAGACCACCAGTACCAAACCCGCCGCCACCGAAACAGAAAGTCCAGGCACAGTCGCCAAATACCAAACTATTACACCCGAAAGCAGAGCAATCTCAGCCTCTTAAACTGAAAACACCAGCGCCATTACCCACTACTGCCACAACTAAACCGACCACGTGCCCAACTTGCTCCTTTGACAACGAGCCAATATCCGCCATTTGCGCTATATGTAGCAATGTCCTCAACCCAGCGAGGGTTTCCGACTCTTGGGCATGTACCAGCACGACGTGTACCGGGACAAAGTATCGCAATGCGGGCGACGTTGGAATTTGCGGAGTGTGTGGAGCTCGCAAGCCACAGGCTATATTGGCGGATCAAGCTTAAATCGCCCCTGCGTACCGGGACAGTAAACAAAGGGGGTGACAACGGCGGGGCAACCACCGGGACAGGGATCCTGGTTTAGGGGGGGGTTATGTATGTATATGCCCATGTCAGGATCAAGGGAAGAAAAAGACCCCATCCTACGTCTATGATCTGATTTACCTTTTACGGCAAGACCAGACTGTTGAACAGCTCTCTTTACGTCATCTCCTTGCCCATCCATCCCATCAGTTCATACCTCTTGTTGACCACTCACTCCCCATTCTTGACCCCCATCTTTCCTATACAGTTCCCATATCCATACCCCCCTTTCCCTCCACCCAATATCACCATTTCTACGAATATCTTCAACACTTCAAACCCCTCCCCCAGTGCGAATAACCATAGCACACTATCCCTGGGCACTGTCCCAACGCCAAACACAGCCACACCAGTTTCACCACCACCCACAGATAGCTGTCGAAATTACTATCCAAAATTTCCCCTTTTTAAGTTGGCACAGAATTTTCTTCTTCACTCCATGTGACCCATAGACCGCATAGATAGCAAAAAAGAATAAACAAAAAAACTTAAACCTCTCCACATCACCTGTTGTATATCGTGCCTCAACCGTGAAACCATTTTACCATCCTGTGACATTCAACACCCTCAAATCAAACCGAATAGCACACCACAAAATCATATCTCAAATGTGGTGGCCAACACCCGACCAGAAACAACCTCCTCTTTCCCCCTCGACCCTTCTTCCATCTTGAGTTAGACATGTCACATCACCATCACCATCACCAAGCCAATCGCAAACATCTTTTTGGCCGCCGAAACCAGAAACATGCCTCTCTTTTGAAGAGAACCATTACAGAGCCCCCTATTCATCTTACCAGCGCCCTCTCTCTCGGCCTATTTACTCACCCTCCCTACAATACAGTCAAAGGCCTTGAAAGAAAATCAAGAAGCCTTTAAACTATCTTTAAAGGCCTATTAACTATATTTTAACACCTAATAATTATAAAAGAAACTCAGGGGAGCTACCTCTTCGTCTTTTGGGGAGGGGGTGGATCTTGGGTAAATAAACAGGGGGCTCACGTAAAGGTTCTCTCCTCTTTTATCCTTGGGACTCTATTGCTCTATTGGGGACTTTATAAGGTATCCAAACCTCTGGTAAGTCTTTCTGTCTATTCATCCTTCCCCGTTTTGTCTACCCATTTCATGCCCATCTTTCTATCCTGGAAAAAAAAACAAAAAGAAGAGAAACATCCTCAGAGTCCCGACCATTTCCCTCGCCATTTCCTTCCCTTCCACCTTTTTTTGGTGATTATTTCCGCTTCATTTTCTCTCCCCTTCTTGCACTCTCGAGTGTTGCTGACTACAATCTGTCGCCAGGCGTGCTCCTCCCCAAGATCCCTCCTTCGGCCGGCCATACTACTCTCCTCGGTGACCACCCATCCCCAGTATTATTTATCAAGACTTATCCCTTTTCGGGCTTTCTAATCGCCTAAGAAGCGCATACCAGATCCCAAGGCACTGAAACAAAACGAGAAAAACAAACAAAATACAAAATACCACACCTGTTACCACACCAATCAATAACAACACAAAAAGTACAACCCATATTCCACTCCGAAAACAAGAACAAAACATAAACGAAAAGCTAATGCCTATGATGCAGCGTAGAAAATGCTGTTCAAGGCTACCGCCGGCGGTATAGCGGGTATTGTCGTTAAAAACCAGAGTGTGAAATCACGGGTATCTCAAAGCCAACAAAGAACCCCAATCCAAGACCGAAAGAGAACCCGTCAAGGAGCTAACACTTCCTTTGAACAACCAACCCCCCCCCCCCCCCCCACCACAAAAGGATCAAGCGAAAAAACGCAAGAAAATGAAACCGCAAATCAACTTTGCCCCGAAGCCCAACTCAAGGCAAGAGGCTACCCAAAGACAAAATCGACGCGCCACTAGGGTTGACTATCCAGGGCGGCAAGATTGTCTATCATGGCCTGATCATACCCCTTCGACTTGTCATAATCGGCGAGCCACTCGTCCCAAGTGAGGTTCGACAGTTTATCGTCCTCGGTCCAGTGCTGCGAAGGCTGCTCAGGACCCAAGACACCCCTCTCGGGAAAATTGCCCAAGACAACCCTCTCGGGAAAATGCCCCAAAGGCTGTCCTGGAAAGTGCTCGCAATGCGAGCAATAACCGCCGCTGTCACCACCATTAGTCGCAGCACGCAGACAGAGACAAAAGGGATGAGGGGTGGGGAAGAGATGGAAAAGCTCACCATTTCCAATCCGAATCTCGCCGGGTCTCCTGATCGAAGAAAGTGAGCAGCAGCTTCGTGGTGGCAATACCGGTCCATCGATGTGCGTTGGTCCTCCACTCTTTCCAATCAAGTTCCAGATCTATATCATTCTCGGCATTCCAATTGAGGGTTCTGTCGAGATGGGAAATGATTCTTGTCCACTCTTGCTCTTCCAACAACTCTTTGGTCTTGGGAGTTGTAGCCGCCTTGACGATCTTGTGACCTTCATTGGACAACGACCGAATCATAACCCGGATTGCCCAGTTCTCATGGATGCCATCGTTGGCATCATCATCAAGTTGTCCGCATCGGGCCTCGAGGTCGGTCATTTCGAACCTTGTTTCGCAGATATAGAGCCGCATGAAACAGCGGGCGCAGAACAGATTTGTGCGCTCGTGGTAGGGGACAGTCCTGTCGGCAGCCTCAAGGTGCCGTTGCACAAAAGAGAGAGTTGCAGCGCTTGCATGCCTTGTAGTTCCCTTCTGGGCGGTTCGACTGGCTATTGAGAAGAGACTGGCCATTGTTCGTCTGCCCATGCTCACGCCTGCTCTTCTTGTTGGGGACTGGAGAGTCACCATTGCCGACCGCAGCAGAAATCGACTGACCAGTCAGAGGAGACGAGTCGCTACTAATCGACTGGCTCTTTCGCTTGATCGATTCCCGGCTCTCGCGTTCCGAGTTGCTGGGATGAATGTCGGCCTGGTCGCACGGTTGTGAGTTCATGGAAAGCAAAGCAAACGGACGGAAGGGGGAAATCGCGAAAGAACCTACTGGGTTTCCAACAATGATCGTGTCACCAACGGCATTGCTAGAGGGTCGTCTGGGTTGAGGGACGCGAGGTTGCAACATGGGTCGAAGACGAGACGGTTCGACTGTACTAGGGGCAGAAACCGCTGCATGTCTGGCGGGAATCGAAGTAAATGGAGACATCATTCCTGTCGGGGAGTTGGTAAACCGTGGAGGCCATTCCGACGGTCGGCGTGTCGTCATGGCTGCCAAGGGGGGATTAGGTTCAGGGGCGGCTGCGGTCGGATTTGTTGAGAAGGGTGTTGGTGAAGAGCTGGCCTGGGTCGGACGCCCGCTTCTTGATGAAGAAAATCCTCTCGCTGGAAACATCTTTTTCTCGCTGGAATGTCCAGTAGGATGCTCGAGTCGCGACCAACTTGGGTTCTTCGAACACGGGTGTGGTTGAGGCGTCTTAGGCAAACATCGGGGCCGCACGCCTCGCCGACGATAGCGTGGAAGTAATTGATGCTTGTGTGGAGCGAGGAAGGGGAAGGAAGAGG